AACAGGATCATTATTCGGTTCAGTTGCTTTTCAAATACAGTGTTGCACATGCATCAGAAATTTTGCTCCACGCAATGCGTTCCATTTACATGTACAGTAATAGGGTTTTTGTGTTCTCTTTATGATACCCTTCCGAAAACACCACCAGCAGGAAGTATGTCATAGTACAGTAATAGTAGAGGGAATATATACTCTGATATCATAGGAGAACGTGAATTCTGAATTCCATTTAATTAATATGATCTATATCATCTATTGTACTGTATATGAAAATAAAGAAAACGTTTGGTGCTTGTTATCAATTTGAATTTACTGAAGCTTTATGAAAGGAGTCAAGCATATATAGTCAAACCTTAAAATATCAATTTTTTTGTATTTCGAATCAAATACAGTTGAACCTCTCTAAGTTGCATTTCATGGGACCTGCAAAAAAATTTGACCTAGGGAGTTTCTGAGTTTTATAGAATTATAGATGGGTTCATTTGCCTAATTTAGTCTGTCAGTTTATGTCAAATCACATCCAATTCCTTTTTTATTGTTTTTTATTTCCTGTTACAATAAAATAATGACCTAGAGGCCTACAAAATTCAACTTATGGAGGTTTTAAAGGAAAAGCCTTCAAGTTAGGGAGGTTTTTAATGCATCATTTCCAAAGGAATTCAGACAGAGACTCAAGCATTTTTGACTTATGGAGGTTCAACTAAGCAAGGTTCAACTGTACTCCAAACACTAAACATTTAATTGGAATCATCTGATGTAAAATCATCTTTTTAGTGACAAAGAATTTCCTATCTCTAAAATAAGCAGAAAAATTTCATTGGCTCCATTATATGTTTTGATCATTTGGAAAGTTCATGCAGATGAAGATTTGTATTGATTTGAATTGAACAACAAGCATTTTTTAAATCTGCTTTTGGGCCTTCACGTGGTTCAAGCAATGTTCCCACATCCAAATCCCCTACCCTCCCCACTCACATTCATCCAAACAAATTCCATTACTTCAGAATTGAAAACAGAGAAATAAGTTGTATATGGATACTAAAATCAAATAAAATACATCCCAAAATGTAAAATTGCACATTAATGTAAATGCATACACTTTCTTCCCTTCCCTGATACAAAACAAAATATCAGTAATAAAAATTTCAACATATGGCAATTATTATAAACCCAAATTAAGACACAATGTTTTCAGCCTGATGCTCCCAGATATGCTCCCAGGTTTAGTTGATTAAACAATCTTTAATGAGAAATCAAATAAGATTAACAGTTTATCTTGGTCCTCTAAGATTTTGGAAAGAGTCTTCTCATTGAATTGTAAGAGTCCCAAATCTTTCTGAAGCTCATTTCTGTAGCTGTGGAATGCTGGGCATAAGAAAAGAAGGTGCTCTGGCGATGCATCAACCAATGTATTTAAACTGCAAGATTTGTAAACTATACAATTTCCAGTTACTGTACGTATGTGCAGATGAAGTAGAGAATCAATTCAACGCATTTTGAATGTACCCTGCATGTATAATTTTAATTCTTCAGGCAATTTTGGATTCTTCTGTTAATCTGTGCCATGACTTTTTCCATAGTCCCTTTGTCAAATTCCATATAGATGGGCGAAGTAGATGTAAAACCAAACAAGAGAAAATGCTGCCCAAAATTTCATCAGACACGGAGGCATCTGTCATCATGATGAAGGAAATTGAAAATATTGAAATGGTTCAATAGATTGTGATTGAATGCAGAGCTGAATAAACGGGGTATCCGATGCTTACGCTGTAATCAATTCATGAAACTAAGAATGCCTTATTGAAAGTTTAAATGATACACAAAGTCGGAGCAGTATGTACGCGCAAAATCTAAATAGAAAAATAACTTGAAATTTTAATTCCGTCATTGATGCATCGCCTAACTGTACATTCAATTTTCGCCAAATTTCAAGTCATCATAGGAAACATAGCGGGCCAAGCAAATTTTAGTCAAAAAATTTAATTTTACTCAGATGGGCTAGAATTCAATTTCAAAATTCATTTCTTTTGAATCATTGCAACTTATCTGTAGATACATGCTGTTCCCTGAGATTTTCGCGAATGTTGGTACAGTATTATCACAAGTCAACGTTGATTAAATTTATCTGATCTTCGGTTTATTCTTTTTTTATTGCCCTGGCAAATACTGCATTTTTCGACATTATTCCAGATCTGCGAAAGTCGAGTGCACAGCAGTTCTAAACACAGAGATCAGTGAGGCAATATTGGAATATGAAGACTTAGATTCGCGAATACAATGAGCATCGATTACTGTGAAAAATGGAGAAAAAACGAGCTTGTTTTCGTCGCATTCCCCAGGAATGTCTGAGCTCATCACAAGCTTCATGGTTCCACCGATAGCTGCGAATGCTATAATGAATTCATGAAACCCGAGTCTCCCGTCCATTGTCCGGAGCACGAACCTAACATTTCCGTCGCTGTCTGCGGAAGTACTCGTGTGCTTACGCCTCAATAGGCCACGTGCGACGATCCGCAAGGCTGTCACCCGATCGCGCTCGCTCGCTCTCAACGGGAAGGAAACCTGTCCATCATAACTGAGCCCATTGTTGTCGTCGAACACTATGGTAATTACTGCGAACGCACGCATATAACGCCTCAAACACCGTGTTGCGCCTTCCACCCAGTTCCTGGACGATTTAATCCTATTGTTTCGGATCGAATGAAGAGCAAGTCAACAGGGTCTTTGATAATTACGCGAACGACGCACAGACGGTATCTGCTTACGGACTCGTACACGTGGTTTCAGCTGTCGAACTAAAAAATAAATAAATAATAACGAGAAAATCAGGGAACCCGGCGCAGTACGCAGGGAAGTACTGTATTACGCACGATTCTACCTCGGCAGTTCGTACTATGTGCTGACGACGTCAAAATTGCGACGCCGTCCATGCCACGAGAGCGTAAATGCCAAATGCCAATGCTCATATCTTGGAAAGGGCGTCGAGGGTTTTTGTGCTGGTGCTTACCTGCAACCAACGGGAAACAGCGGCTCTTAAAGCGCATGCAAAAATGGTCGGAACGTGATTACGGTGCTGGAGCATGTAATACGCGTTGAGTGAATTTCCCGAGGGAACATTTGACAGATTACACTCACTGAAAAGATCAGCTGGAGCGGGATCATTATTCAGACTGAATCGAGTTTATATTTCCCTCAGGGTTACGTCGACTTCGAGGCCATGTTTTGCTTCGGCTATTCATTTTTCAATTCACGGTGATTTAAATCGTGATGAAGCTATTCAAATAATTCGGAATGAATCATATAATAGCTAGTGTATCTCTCTCTCTCTCTCTCTCTCTTTTCCGCGGTAATTGAATTGTTGAGCATCCCCTTTTCAAATTGAAAACTTCATGTGAATCAATAGTATGCAAATGGGCATTTGTCATTCATTCGGCTAAAAAACTTTGGATTTACTCTCCAATTTCACTGTATCGCCACCGAACTCCACGTCCACCGTTTTTTCATTGTGGGAATACCGGGCAACGCTGTACATCAGTCCAGCAGTGATTTCACTTCATTTCTCTCGCATTTTATGAAATGAAGTTTATTTTATATTAGATCCCAAAAAGTTTGCCACTAAATCACACATTAGGATCAACGTTTTTTACAACGGTATGTTTCCTTCATTATCAGAAATCATTTTTCATAAATTATCAGTCATACTGATGATCTGGTGAGTATAAATTCCCTTGTGTGCCTGTGTTCGTCCACGAGATTTGCAGCTTAACTCAAGTGAAATTCCGAAGTATAGTACAGTACTGTCCCTATATATATATTTTTAAAATACAGTACTATAGAAATACTGTATTTTTATCTTTTACGGATCAGCGATGGTCCGTTCGTTCTGTCACAGGAATTTATACTCTGCGGGACGCATGCTATTACTTATTACAGATGTTTTTGTTTGTTTGTGAAAATATTGATACTGCAATTGGTGGAATATACATACAGTACTCGGATTTTTAAGCGTGAAGTTCACTTTGTCAAAGGATAATCTGATTGGCGTTAAATACTGAAAAGGATGAGTGCATGTTGATTGTCATGCCATCGAATTTCGGTCAGTCGGCAGTTAAAGTGGTCACACACTACCGTGCATCTGACTTTCAGGATGAATGATGGCTTATACACCAGTAAGTGATGATTTCCGTTTCTCTGTTTCGGTGATTTTTCGTGGTGCAGAAAACGAATGTGAAATAATGGACGATTAACAGTGACAGTTCTTAGGTGCGGCAGCAGTCAACAAGAGACTCGAACTGAGATGCTGCTTTGGGATCCAGCTGGGCTTCGAATGTCGTAAATTATGCTGATACATCGGTCACACGCAACAGGTAAAATGAATCCGTGGATTACGACGCGAGAGGAGACCCAAGAATGTGTTTCTCGACGACCGTCGCTCTGCGGCGTCGCGGGCATGATGGAGCACAGTGGTCGGTGCTCCACCCAACTTTCCACGTAACGACTGCCACTGCGTCTCGTGGCGACAGGCAGTGGCGCACAGCGCTGCGCCCGTGACAGTGTGCCTCAGCGCCCTCGAAAAACGTGCTTGGAAAACGGAGGCAGAAAAACAGCGCCGGTGGGACTCATCGCGTGGGTACCACAGGACATTAACTCAAAGGCGCCACGAGCATTGGCGCTTTTATTCAGGCGCCGTTACGTGCCGGAACGCCTTCAGTCAGTTCTATCATTCTAGCGTTCACGCGCCACCTGTAAACATTCGATGATTGTTTCAAATGTGAAAAATTTCAACAAAAAAACCAGCGGCGCGCCCCTTCACCCGCATATGCCATACTAAATGCAATGATCCTTAAAAGGTGCATATATCACTTGAAAACTATCTCAATGTTAAACAAGTATTGTACTCTTTAAAAAAAAAAGAGGTCCCAAGTAGATAGCTTCGAAGTTCATGATGCCACGGCTCATCATATCCTACTTCAAGAAATTGAGTAAAACGTAATACTGTATTGGGAAAAACATGCATACGCGCAGTAATGGTTTCATATTGTTCAGCTTTCAATGCCAATGATTCAAATCAAACCACAAACTACCCACGAATCCTGCTGTTCTGAACCGAGTATGCTGGTCCAGGATAATAAAAAGTGTTTTCGTACGTTAATGAGACTCAGAATAAGAATACTTCATCCCAGAACTGGGTCCAACATCTACGTAATTGGAGTGCTGATTTAACATAGGATTAAAAATGTATGATTCAAATTTTTCTTTTTTCTCAAATTGTGTCAATATCCTGCACCGTTCGTGAAATGTAATTCGTGAACTTTACTTTGTATCCGCGTAACATCAGAAGTACAGCTTAAATGCTTTCCGGTGTTGAATATTGCAGGAGTGCATATTTCGAGTTCGCAAGCATTGAAGTGAGAAAAGGGTATTCTGCCATCCTGAGTATTTCCCTGTTATACCGGTTTCTTTTTGTACAGGTGAATCCCAAGTTTTCTGATTGTTGATTGCATTATTGTGAATTTAATTTTCCATCTCATGATTATTGCAATGTACTACTGCCAGGATTTTTATCGCTTTCTTGTCAGTAATCATCTTTACAGCAGAGATTTTCCTGACGCGGGTGTACTTTCTTGCTGTCCCGATGCGACCAAAACCCATGGGAAAACTTACTTGTGTTTCTGGTGTCTCCGTCGCCATATTGCTTTAAAAAGGGTCTGAAAGGCAACTGAGTTTTCATAGAAACTATCAACGGATATATTTATATATTTTTTCATCTCTAGGCTTAATTTCGTGCATTCCCTTTGAACGATGTCGTTCTTGAAGAAAAATTTTTTGTGAATGGTTTCTCTATCAGGAAATATTTTAGCATTCGAGATTCCATTTTATCGAAGTTCGTTTTACAAAATAGCAAGGCATGTCACAAAATACATCCTTGAAGTTGCATGCCAAATTCTATCTTTACCCATAACAATACATGGTTATGGGACGTAATCGAATAACTGTATACGAAGAAGGCGAAATAATCAGCAATATATTTGAGTATATTTTTAATTCAGCGGGTCCCCGAAGAACTGTACTCAGACGTTGCCACACGCGCTAGAACTGTAATTTCTGAATAATTCATAACCCAGCTTACGTATGCTACATCTGTATATTTTACTGCAGAAAAACAGTCAAATGATTGCGGGAAATACGAAAAAGTGGTAGAAAGAAAATAATTTCGAAAATTTTAAATAGAAGCATATATGAGGGCTGCGGGGTGAGCTGCAATGACTCCAAGAACATCTTTGGGAGTCCTGAAGATCCATCTCTGGAAACACTTTGACAACAAGTTCTGTGAATGTCAAGCCTTCCAGTTTTGTCTCAAAACTATTTTTTCATAACTGTTCAATAGTCGAGAGGAAAACGGGTTTAAACCCACATAAATACAGTATAAATTTCAATACACACGATTTTTCATGGACTGATTTTTAAAATTGTGGTACCCCTGAATTTTCAAAAATGACTCAGGAAACAGCCAAATTAAAGGTAATTATTTTCTGAAATGATCCGATTTACTCATGGTTAAAAGAATATTCTAGATCAGCAAATGTAGATCAATAAATAAATGTGCTAGAAAAAGTTGAATCGTGCATCGTGAGTACTATTTTGTATTCGAAGAGTTTTTCAAAGTTTTGTAGCTAAATGGGCCAGCCAGTATAGATATTCCGACTTATTATAAAATTCTGAAGAAAATTAGTGTTCGGCTTTTTTAAAAATCTATGTAAATTTTTCACCGCAAATATTTACAGAATGGTGAATTAAGAATGAATGAAGGATTTCGTTAGCGAAAAATCTTCTGCTTTTGTTCGTCAATTTTGCTTTTTGTTCGTAAAGGAAATGAAGCGACAACGTTGTCTGTATGGGGATTCATTGGCCTTTATTGAAAGTCCAGTCTGACAAAGCGGAAATGTTTTTAAAAACATCAATTTCCACCATGAGAGCATGGAAGTACACCTAGAAAACTGAATTTTGTCATCAGTTCACTACCGCAACGAAGCTGCCGTACCCGTGCGCTGAGGCACACCGGCGCGATTGGGCCCGGGCGCTGTTTTCCTGGCTCCGCTTTCTGGGCGCGGTTTTGGGGGCGCTGTGCCTCACCACCTTTACCAAACGCCTTGCCCAAGTGATCCTCACTGTCTTCGCGAGTGTTGTCCCACCGAGTTGCCATCATTCGTGAAAAAAATGAATAAGGTTGTGCGCGAAGTGGATCACTCACAAAAATTCACGATGGATGTACTCAAACCAGTGCACATTCAGCTTTACCCCTTCCGTTCCATTCAAGAAGTACTACTTCAAAAATACATTCTTAAAAAATACCTGCTCTCTTCTTGGCTGTACTAGTGTAATACTGCGAAAGTTCGTCCAAACGTAATACAGTAATTGCAAAAAGTGAACTTGCCGTTTTCATGCGGACGACCCGCGCATTCAAAATCATTTTAAATTCATATTCATTTTCTGCTACCGAATTTTTTGCTGATTAAATTCTCCAACAGTGGACTAAATTTAGATCTTCTTGCAGTTTTATGGACCCCTTATTCAGGAGAACTTTGAATATCCACTATTTGATTACCGGTGCCGAAATTAAGATTTTTCGATCAGAAACACAGTTATAATTGTATTTGTCAGCCGCTTTAGGTTCCCTGATTGATGGGAATTCCATATTAAAATACGTGTCAGATTAAAACCCCTCAACGCATAAATAACTTTTTAAATCGGAATTTTCATCATTCATTCAAAATTTCATTATCCGCATTTTCTTAATTCTTGATATTGTACTATAAATGACGATATCGCCAGCGAATGATCAGAGTTCTCCTACAATCCGATCCTTGAGTGCATGGAAGAACTGCCTAGGAAACGAGCTTGAGATCATTCACGTCAAAATATTCTATTGCCGAATCCTGAAAGAAATCAAAATTGCAATGCAATTAAGAATTTAATGCATCCGAGTATACACGATTGGTATTTCCATAACTGCATCTTCTTCAACGCGGCGTCCCGCTGAAAATTATTTTCTAGATTGTGAAAAGTTCACCTTGTTCACATACTCACTGTGTCATTGGTTGAACGATGCGGAAAGCAATGCAAGCAGTGTTCCGCATTGCGTGATGTTTTGTGTCGCCCCCGTGAAACTATAATAATTCGTTTCTGCAATCAGATCAAAATATCCTTCAAATTAAATAAACGTCATATGAAACTTCGGCGGGGAACGTAGAAGTACTGCAGTGCGTGCACAAAATCATCGTCCTTCAATTTGCGTGTAACGTAAGAGCGGCCTTGTTTATGCGAACCGTATTCATGTGCATCGAGTCTTTTTTATTTACCTCTCACTTTCATGATGAATGCAAGTTGACTCCTCGTCAAAATTTATTCCAGTTTTAGACTTGAGATATGGCTCATGACACACCTACCTCATCCATGGTGTAGCAAACTCAAGATTTCATCAAGTGCATATCATATCACTATCGAGTTATAGCGGAAAGATTCAACGAACCCTGAAAGGAATTTCCACCAGCGAATTCGATTGTGCAGTGCTGCAACCTTACAGGGATTGATGGAGCCGCCTTCCGAGCGCCGCCGCTGCTGGCGAGTCGTGAATCTAGACGGACTCTGTCAGGCTATGGTTGCGATTTTCATTTTCTGGTCAACGAAAAATTCAGGTTAGTTTTGATTGTTGACTTGCGGAAGGATACGAAATAAATCATTTCTCCCGATGAAACTCGCGTCGTCAGCCGGGCACAACATCGCAATGTGAACGGGTCGGGGCTCATTAAAATGTGCTGGACCCAGCCTGAAGCGCTGAGCTTTACACGAACACTTATTGCATGCACTTGATGTGATTTCGGTTTTCTAGAAGCGAGAAGTACGAAGTTCATCGCGGGAGTGCATTGGTAGAAACCTGCAGAGGAAGAAGGGCTTCTCTGATTTTGAAAATATCGTGAGGTTCCAGAAATCTTGGAAATCCGCGTTTCTCATGCAAATCATTCAATTGGACAAGCTTAGTTATTGAATTAGTGCTAAAAAAAATTCATTTCAACTGAAGTCACATACTCTTATGACATATGGATGCCAATACAAAATTCTCATCACGACAGATCGTTAATTTAGAATTTTTTACCAGGAAAGTAGGAAAATGTGCAGAAAAGTATACAATTGCATTTGAAATCTCACGTTTGTTTTTGGATGGCTTCTGGACCAGCCTTTTAGTGAGATGTTTACTTAGATTCTTCCCACTTGAAGATTAACTGACATAATACTGTAGTTGTGAGGTTTTTAGTTGAATTGAAACATTCTTGCCGTGAAATACATTTGTTTAATTTCATACTGGTTCCTTTTCAAACATGAAACACTAAAAAATTAGTTTCAGAGCCCGTTGAAGTATTTCTTCGATTAATGCAGGAAATGTTTCGGATTATAATTCTGATGATAAATCGTTCCACTTGAAAGCATAAGCTCCTGACTTGAACTTCATAAATTAAATTTGTTAGCTGAAGAATAATTATAAATTGTCATCTTGAATAATGATGCAACCGGATAATGATTCATATTTGATACTAACTACCCTCTCCTTCTTGAAGTTTAATTTTAACCAGCCTACGATAACTCGTAGTTTGGTCAAGCGAGTCCAACAACCAACAACTCAAACGCAAAGTGTGTCTGTTCAAAATTTAAGATCCAATTGATATTTCTATTCAAATTCATGTACGTCTCATGATTGAAGCTTTATTCAAGCAAGCGTGATAGTGTCAATAACTGACGCATATGATGGAATGCAAAAATTCTCAGACGAAATTCTAATACGAGAACTGTAAAATGTACAAAAATTATGAATCAAAAGCTATGCATCACGGCTTTGCAGATCTTCAGAAAGTCACAATTAAGCATTCAATGCCGTAATTTCTGAGCTTATTCATTATGCGCACTAAGAAAAAAAATTTGGTTATACCGAAGAAAATAGCGCAGCATATATGTTCTTCAAGAGCAAAAAATTCTTAATTATCCTTCAGTTACAAATATTGACTGTGACTAGAATTTCACCGGAGGATTCCGTCGAAAAATACGAATGTCTGTTCATGCATTTTAAACGGACCGTGAATGATCTATGTACAGCTCGAATTATATTATTTTGTGCAAAATTAGATGAAAAACAGAAGACAACAGAGCTTACCTCTTTGGAATCGAGGGTCAAACTGAGATTGTATATTACTGTTTCGACTCCGTGAGGCATTGATTGTATTCTAGAAAAAGGGGCTGGTAAATATACGAGTGTTTTTATTGAATATGATGGAGATAATATTTAAAGTTAATCAAGAATGCTGGGTAGAACTTCAGGGCTGCCAGAGGTGACTGACGATAAAATCTTTCTGTTGGTTTTAGCAGAAGAGATTCAATTGAGGGATACTGTAAATGATAGTTACGAAACCTTTTCATAAAAAATGCATCAAGTTTTATGACCCTAATTTATGTAAAATACTCGAATAATGTATTTCTGGAGCGACGCCTTGGCAGTAATATCGAAAATAAAACAGAACAGGAGACTTTCTGTCCTTCAGACGGACACACTTATCAGCTCAATTCCCTTTTGAAGTTAGTAAAACAGTAAAGTTGTAGAGGACTGTAAGACTTCGAACGTTGCATTTCAATAGGATCTCGACAAGATCGAAGGGATTTTCAGCAAAGAAAATTTGTGCGTATAATGGCAATGTCAACGAAATCAGGATATAACCCAATGAGGTTCTCAAGGCTTCATGAAAAGCATATAAAGTAGAGATGATATTTTGATTTGTTCGCTCAAAGTCGATGCTACTGTACAGAAATAACGTGTGTGGTTCCCTTCATTCGGGTAGAGCTTATTAACATTTTTTTATCAGTTCTTAGGGCTGATTTATTATACTGTTATAACCAAATCATCAGCTTCTAGGTCTCCGCGGTGCAGGTCGTTTCATATTTCTTATGTAAGGTAATCAGAATTCAATGGAAGACTTTCAAGGGCTGCCATGCGCAATAAAGGTCAGCAAATCACAATATTTGTACTGTGGACTCTGCTGCGAGATTAATTTTCATGCAGCATTATTGAGCGAGCCTCCAACGGGCGGCTGGTTTTCTCTGACAAATATCAACAAGTTATATTTTAATCGGCGCATTCCGTGTTTGGTAAACACTTCCCAAATTTTTCAGAGTAATAACGTCACATGATCCACTATAGACAATGACGCGTGTTTTTTTATGAACGCACAGCAGTACTTCAGCGATTCGAATCGAGAAACAAAGATAAACAAGTGATAATGGTTCCAGTGCAGAAACGCAGTTTCCCAGAAAATGCGTGAGGATTGATTGAAGTAGAATTTCGCTTCAGCAATGATACGTCGCACGGAAATCTCTCTCCCCAGGTTTGAAATGAACCACGGCGTGGAATGACATGGACCAAAACGTAATTTTGATGCCATTATTATCGAGGCACATGCAGACAATGAATTGAATATTGTAAATGCTCCGAGCAAGGGGTCATTTTGATGTGAAGCAACTTTTGTAAGCAAAGGGCTGCACGAGGCGTACTATACCCAATTTTTCGAACGTTCGGTAATTATCCCGTTATGATTCTCGCCATCCCCTATATAGATAATTAGAACTTTCGCTCGTATACGCGTATAATACGGTGGGGGGAGGCTTCGAGATCATTCATCACCATCATTACGACGTTTATCCGCGCCGTTGAAGTTAATTTTTTATCCATTTGTTGACGCATGTCGTCAGCGAACGCCGAATTTCGCACATACGCATCGGAAGCGCGCTGAAGACAGTGAGCGCTGGCATGACAGTCTCGCGGCTAATTCCCCCAGTAGTTGCAGACCGCCGCTTCAATTATCTTGTCGCCCCAGCAACTAGGTCTGCTTGATCACCGCGAAGCCGTTCTGAGTCCCAGAGCAGCGCTCTTCCGTCGCAGACTCGGAAATTGCTCGTGAGATGCACGTTGCTGACCTGCTGTATAGCGAAAGGCATGGTTGCGAGGCTGACCACATCCGCGGTTAATCAGATTTCCTATCTTGGAGTTCTGTTGTGTCAAGGCCATATCATGGGAGCTGCCCGCTGCTAAGCTTAGCCGGTGTGTGCATACGGAAGCAAGGTCGAAGACCCAGTCGTACCCGCCCTATACCGTTGAAGAACTACGAAGAGGAGCTGCTCCTAAAAGGCAGAAAAATTTCGTCACATCCCCATCCTCATCCCTCTCCAAAACCAAAAGTTGAACATTCAAGGAATTCCTCTCGTCTCTGCAACCGGCGTTAATTCCATCCAAATTGTTTACCCCTATATACAGCATTTGAAGATGAGTTCAAATTATACTGAACCCCCGCAGTGTCCCGATGAAGATGACCCGATGGTCATAATATTGCTTTGACACCTTCTTCAGGGAATAAAATACATATTTCATCTAATGAACGTTTAGTCTTTCCTTCGAGACAATTTAATGATTGGAGGGGGGGGGGCACGAATTCGTCTTTCTATAATGTATTCCTCAAAAGTTAAAAAATTAAACTCTACTTCACGGTTACGCGTCAGTGATGAAACAGAATTTTGATAAGTTCACGCCGGAAAATTTTAGATTATCTCCATCGTGAACCTGTGCATAAACTTTTTAAAGAAGTACTGTATTAGATGTATTACTGATTATCCGGGCCTTGATTTACCGTACATTAAGATAACTATAGCAAAATAATAAGAGAATCGTGTACTATAGCGAACACAAAAGAACCTTTGGAATTTAGATTTGAAAAATGATGGTACAGGTAATATTTTATATCGGATCATTGTTTGAAAGTTCATTAATTAGTGAAACATACCTGGGTTGAAACTATACAGTATTCGAGTACCTGCAGTTGTGATATTCAATTATGCGGGCGGAACACCGAACATTCGGAGATCCAAAGTAGCGTACTTTCCTCATCTGTATCAAATTGAAGACATGGAATATGGCTTTGCAACTCATCTCTTCCTGCACTGTGATGAGAAAAAGAGGGAATCAATCAATTTAAGGGCATGGATTGAGGTTCTTATTCCGATGACTGATGCTTTTCTGACTGAATGGGGATATGGAGAGAGGACCTGAACGGAAGGCGCACAGAAGGTTTGTTTTGAGAACATTGAGTGTATGACACGTTGAGAAGATGAGTGGAGGAGAAGCTGCGTGGAACTCAAACATAGTGGAAAGCAGCAACGAGCTCAATTGTTGGCGTTCAGTTCAAAGCAATGATTTGAACGCTTTCTCACCCCCGACATAAGCGACAGACACACGAGCTCGCGGACAGGGGTTCGAAGAGTCGAAGCCTCTCCAGATAATTTAAACATTCGCAGACTAGAGCGATAATCGTGGAGACTCTTAGCCAGCTTAATAGCAGGTGGTAAATCCCGTCGGCCAAACCCCCGCATCACCCAAGAATGACAATCCACGAAACTCTACTCCTCCCGAAAATGTGAGCGTCAGATGAGACCTAAGCAACAGCCTGAACAGATAAAGCGACCCTGACGCGCTGGTTCTATACCGTGCACTTTCCGACGACAAACTCGGCGGAGAAGCAAGAAAAAAAAGAGGCCAGTGCTGCTTTGACAGGGAAATGCATAATGCAGTAGATCGCGATTGCTCCGGGACCCTTGATACAGCTTCTCGCTCCGAATAAAGTGAGATGAGCCACGAAGTGTACGAAGACGTGCGGCTGATTATTTTATTTCAAGGGGATTGACGTTCCTTTGATTCGACCGTCGCGAAGAGGTCTCGGGTTTCTTTACACAATCGACTGCCTTTCAACGCTCTGATCAGGGACAATGCTTGCTCACTCTTTTCTCCTCAGGTTCGGTGGCGCTAAAGCTGCGACAGTTGAATGTTCCCGACTATGCTATCACTGGGGAGACAGCTACGCTGGAGTGCAATTACGACCTAGGCCGAGAAGCTCTATACGTGGTGAAATGGTTCAAAGATACCGAAGAGTTCTATCGATATATGCCTGGCATTGCCAAAGCGACGCAAACTTTCAATCTTCCCGGGGTTCAAGTTGACGTGAGTGTTTACAGAATGAAGCTCTATACGTGGTGAAATGGTTCAAAGATACCGAAGAGTTCTATCGATATATGCCTGGCATTGCCAAAGCGACGCAAACTTTCAATCTTCCCGGGGTTCAAGTTGACGTGAGTGTTTACAGAATTATTTCAGCCACATTACTGCACCAGAATGCACGCGATGTATTCAAAGCATGAACATCTTGATATTAATTGAATACATGTTCAATGCAAACATTATGTTGCGATTACTGTTCAAGGAAAGACACAAGATATCCTACTTGCCAATTCGTTTTGCGAGCTATTCGTGATAAAAAAAAAAAAAAAGCTGACTACTTTATACAGTACCGCGCCAAGAAAGATACAGCTTACACGGATTCAAGTAGTGCAAGACAATTCTTTACTTTGAAATATTTATATTTATTTTCGGAACAACGTTTCTTCAGCATCTTTGCCTCTGTTTTCAAAAGTTCATTTCTCCTAGAGTGAACTTGAGTGGAGTTCTCAATTCGCGAACTGGCAACCGACCCCAGATCGTTTGAATGCCATAGTTCGTTTCGAATGACAAACACTCGAATTTTTTGTGTCATTCCATGAAGTTACAAATATTCTCGTCCATGCAGTTTTTCATTTCGGAACCCCAATTTGAAAAACTGGAGAAGTTCTTACTATTATGGTGCAAAAAAAGTACACAAAGCCGGACTGGGATGTCAAGTCTCTGAAAAAATGTATTTCTTGGAGCAGCTTAATTCGAACTGACTTTAACTGTTCAATGCTTCAGAAACAAATGGTTTTCTTAGTGTCTATGTGACTGATTCGGCAATTATGTGTTTATCTTTTGTCATTATTTCGTTCCATGTTGATTGAACAACTTGGCTACAGAGCGAAATGATCAGTTACGTTAGTACGGGAAGAATTGTGTAGTATGGGGGAGGTCATTTGATTCTGCAGCCGTTGGAAACTGCAAGGTAATTTTAAAAGAATTAGAGCTTCGGAAAGTCACTCGGGTAAATTCGTATTTATGGTACTGTAATATGATTATCCGCGATGAATCGAATACGTCCGGTATTTTTATTGTGATTTTTTGTAAGATTCCGACGATTCTGAGGCAGTTCCTACTCCTTCCTGTGAAGACGGACTGAGGGGCATCCCTTTGACCGTAATTTTATAATTCTAGAGTTGTTTCTTTGTTCCATCTAAATGAGTTCAATAACAGCTATTTATTCAAGATCTTCGAGACCTTTCTGTTCTTCTTAGTGAGCGCTTAGAAATATTTAATAAATTATGATGTGTTGCATTTGTTGTGATGTGCAAATCTGGTTCCAAGATTGTTTCATCAATTGAAATTTGTTCTGAAAGGGTCTCCGAATTGTATTATTGCATTCCATGGGTAGACTGTGTTTCGAAGATGGATCCACGAACATATGTCTATTCCACAATATTGATCGGATTCGCATCAAGTTTTTGCGGCAAACAGGAAAAATGGTATAAATTATGCGACGTAACCACGGAGAGCTGGTTAAGCGTCCAATGATTTGGAGCTTTGAGGTCTCGTAGTTCTTGAAGGGGTCTTCATGGAGTCTCGCTAGAGAGTTTTGGGGGTTGAAACCCTTCCCCTGTTCACCCAGTTTCAGCCTAACTGAAGGAGTCACGAGGAGAAAAAAAACCTCGTTTCTCTGATAAAGCAAAGCACTCGCCTGCAAAATTATTCCTTCGCGGCTTGATTCCACCTTTCATTTGCCTGAGTTTTTGACACTTCACCCTTGACGCTCCGCGGCGATGCATATAAATAGCACGCAATGGCAGCCTGCAGACGCGACGAAAACCTGGAATATCTAATGTATGGAAAATATACCGGGGTTGGTCGATTTGAAATTTTAATTAGGCGTCCTACCAGGAGATCTTCGGAAAGGGAGGGGTTACAACGGAACCCCACGACATACACACGGCTCTCTCCTTGATTACCGCGACAGAATAAACTCACATAAAATCAAGTCTTGTGCACAAAATTACTTTGCTCTTCAGCTTTTCCGGGAAATCCGCGAAATGTCTGATAATTTTCATCTCGCAACCTCAGAAGCGTTCGAAATATGGGCTCTCTCAAATTAATGCAGTTACTTTTTCTGCGGAGAACTTGAAAACCAAAGAAAAACTCTTTAGTAACAAGCTAAACTATTCATGGTACGCTTTTCGGCCCTTTTCTTTCAAACGACCTACCAAAACTTTTTTGCGCTTTCAGAAATGTGAATTCCAGAAAAACTGGTGTAATGTTAAAGCCGAACAAAGTTCGTGTTAGGTGTGGACCTGAAAGATTCGAAGAAAGCGATTTTTCACATTCAGATGTACATTCACTGGTTCCGTTTTCATTTTGCAGGGATGACTAAATAATTCCGGCTATTCGTGGAGGAAGATGAACAAAAATCAATGCATGTGGAATTGAAACCTTTTTAACTACTGTACAATGTTTAAAGACGGGACTGTACGAGTATGTAGACAGCGCGAAATCGTATGCTTTTCATTTAGTGGAAAAGCGGAGAATGCATTAAAATGAGCCTACATTCGAGCTTTAAATGGCAGATAAGTTAGCGCTGACAACTATGATCACATAGGTAATTAACGTTGACTAATTAAACCATTTTGATGCTGCCGCGAAAGTATTTCTCAGCACAGATCCTTTATGTTCTTCTTCCGGAAAGATGCTTCTGTCGTAATGCAGTACTCATATTAAAGTACCACACCTTATCCTTTTTCGCAATGCCAGTTTCTACAGACATTTAAAAATTGAATCTTATTGACTAAAATCAAGCTAGTGTCGTAATTCAGCTGCAAAATACTGTTGTGTTGCTGAAATTATGGAAATGTGTTTGATCGTAAAAGAAGAAACCCGTGATATGGATGTGACCTGTGCATTAGAGCCTACTATATGAACGTGGGCTGAGAAATCTATTTTAACTCAGCGAAGGTTGACATGGAGTTGCATCACGGACATGTAACTGTGATCGTGCGGATCGATGCGCGTTCGATTCGAAGTAAATGCGGCCGTCTTTTCCAAATCTGCCGCAGGTGGCCTCATCGAACGACAAGAGAGTCGTTTTGCGGAACATATCGTTGAAATCAGCCGGGAAATATCGATGCGAAGTGTCAGCTGATGCTCCTTCTTTCCACACTATCCGGGAAAGCGCACCCATGCGTGTTTACGGTACGTTGGGGACGAGGAACCCAGGGGTTATTGTTCATTGTAATGCGGTGCACGCCGGCTTTCAAGGAACCCGTCGTCTTGTGCTAAAGACAAGTACGCTTTCTTCTTTACACGCAGATCTTCCTGACTCTGACCCAGTTTTATCCGGGACTGGAGCCGGTGGTATGCGGTACACCATCTCGAAGTACGAGTGGATAATATTTAACTGCACTTCCCACGGCTCATATCCTGCTGCTAACTTGACCTGGCAGGTCAACGGGAAGCCGGTGAGTTTTCGCGCATCCTCGGTCTCATCAATCGGATGTTACCCGTGCTTTCGTCATAAATTTCCTCAACGAGAAAATTAAACGCTTGAGACGAAGAGATCTTATCAAATCATTTTAGGGAATTTCGAGTCGAATAAACGCAGCGCAAATTGTTTTGCAAGCTGGAACTGTGCTGGAGGGGGCAGATGAAGACACGAGTGTTTTCAGCTTCCAAGCTGAACAGTACAAGCTTTTTATTTTAATTTTTGAATGGATATGTGTGTGGGAAGCGGGGGGGGGGGGGTTGGGCAAAATCTTGGGAACCTTGTGGATGCTTACACGCGGCAAATAAAGAATATTCTACAATCAATCAGTACAAGTAACAGAATGGTAGCAAACATGCATACTATATTAGCTGAGCAGCATTAAGACTGCAATCTTCAGGAAAGAACTACCAAGTCTTCTTCTAATAACTGATTCAAAGGCTGAGAGGCTTGGGGACCATATATGTATAAAAGTTCCAGTTCCATGTTCAATTTAAGAAGTATTCATTAAAAGCTTTGAGATTTGAAAAGTTATTGTTGATGTGTGAAGATTTAGGGGATCAATGGCGAAGAGCATCTTGCGTTTATTTCCTCGGAAAGTTTTGAGATCCTCCGAGGAACATGTTTCAGTTTCTGTCTCATGTTATATGCATGGTGTCGGCATCGTCACGAAAACGGCCGAGGTGTCGTTCGTTTCTTGGTCGCAAATTCATGAATGAAGGCTTTGCGTACTTCCCGTGCCATTCACACGAACGAATAAAATTAAAGGAGCCCTAACGACCATGCAGACTTCACGGCGTCAACCTTCTACCCGGGTACCCGTTTTCTTCGCGATCTACCGTATGATAAACAGATTTCCATCAACAGTCTTTATACACATACGTAAAACCTCGATACGTGACATATAAAATGTGATGATCAGAATATCGACGCAGTTTTGAGAAAATAAATTTCTGAACAACAATATATTTTGCAGCGAGATCCTCCAAGCACAGGATACTGACGAGGACCAATTGTTCAAATTACGGCCAGCACCCCTCCAGTACTTAATTGTTCACATTTTATACTTGAAAGACTGATAGAAGATTGAACGTCGAATCTTAAACGAAAAAAAGAAATCTCGATGACACTTCTAAACCCAGACAAATATTCAGTTTGCCAGACAAGATTGAAGGTCTTCGATTAATAAAAGGGTACTATCGTGGAATTCTTAAGATTTTCATGCCTTGATTTTCCAACATATAATGCGCCTAAATTTCCTGCGGCCAAATTTCTATCTCCTTATGTAATTATATGGATTTATGACCTTTAAAGCTATCGAAAAATACTCTACTATCGACAAAACAAAACCCACGAGAACCGAAAGACGGTTGTTCGATTGAGATTTCACGAGGGACCCGCGAAGCTTTCTCGGCGTGTCATGCAACCCTGTAATCTAGCAGCACCAAAGGTTTTTTTTTTCACGTGCATCAGGAAGTGAGTAGGTGAATAAGCTTCGGTACATGCGAAGTATTGTTTTGATATATTCATACCACTTGCTAATGGTTCTCGTGACGAGGTCTTCACAATATGTGCTTCAACAGTTGATATGATTTTCTTTTTCGTACAAGTTCCGAATGAAACCCCGGGTAAAAATAGCCTGGTAAACGTAAAAGCGCAAGAATGAAATACTTCCATCGATTCCCGAAGCAAATATCGATGTCGTGGTTTGAAACGTATGCAGAGCGTGCGGAGAGACGATTTGCAAGTTTCCTGCCTGCGAGGATCGAGTGGGATGGTGGTGAAACTGGGACCGCGTGGGGGAGACGAGGGTGCCGGACATGACCAGTAATCAAGGGAACTTCCGGCGTGACACATGATGCCCGGTGACCGTAAAACGCTATTTAGGATAATTTCCGCGTTCCGGAGTGATCGCCCTGAACAACCGCGAGAGCACGGATCTCCCGAAGCGAACGGCATTAATGAGGCGGTGAAGATGATCTACTCGAAGGCACATTCAATTCACCTTGAACGAAAACACGGGCCCGATTAATCCGGGAATGACTTCTCGTCGTCCCCAGCCGACGGTGGTAACGAGCAGAAAAGTCATGCGACGCGCTCCCGCAGGTCCCGCCGCAGATGAGATTATTTTCCCATCAGAACCCGTGCAACACGTGGAACCGCGTGTGCATCTCAAGGGGATTTCGAGAGTTGCCCGGGTGATGGGCGGGTTTCCTGCCCACCAGAGGCAGACATCAAATGATGAATCGCGATTACCATCGGGCGAGTCTGTGTCCGAGGAAAATTTTGCGCCGGCACTCCCAGCGTCACACGCCGTCATTCTGATGCGGGTTTTGCGCCCATCGCGTGACTCGGCAGTCCGGCGCTCATTTGGCGCTAAAAGAATATTCGACTCCCGCCCAATTTCTTCGCTGGCCGGCCACACCCTCATTACATGACGAACGGATCCGTTCTACCGGAGACCATATTCGCGATCGCGAGGCGGAAATCATGGTCCTCCCCGAGTTGCGTCTCTTCTGGGTCGCCTCGTCTTCCCCATCCCCGAAAACAGTCCCCCTAATTATCGGGGACTCTCCGCCGCATCCTCGAGATCAGTGAGAGGATGCTTTGACGCGCAATTGGAAAGCGATGTGCGCGAGTTGTCGCGAAGTATAGAGGCCTCAACGCCAGCGTCGGAAATCCTAACACACTCGATGCCTTTTCCTCCCTATATACAGGTGGATAGCACGATGAGCGTGTCCGACTTCCCGATCGTGCAAGAGAAGACCGGCACGTTCACGACGATCAAGCAGTTGAAATTCTCTGCCCAGCCCCAGCACGTCAAGGACGGTGAAATCAAGATCAAGTGCATTTCGCGCATCTCAGCTCCTGGTTCCGCGAACTTGTACTACAAGTCGCAAGTGAAAACTTTGCTCGCCCCGTCGGAGCTCAAGCGATCTAATGCGGTCTTGAATGGCAAGTGTAACTTTTCTTCCCTCTTGTTTGAATATTGCCCGCATGTCCTCCAGAGTCTGCACAGTACATGTATACCAACCACGGCAGGTCGCGGTTTGGGTCAATGATAAATCGCACGAATGCATGAGTCCGAAAACTAATTCTGTGCATTTTAATGAATTTCATCTTATTTAAGCTATTGATATTCTTGATACAAATTTTAAAATCCCCATATAGCTTATCATTCTACTATATACAGTACTGTTCCTAATATAGGTCCTGATGACCGTCGTTTTTCTTCAGTAAGCTCCTCTAACTATTTCTAGCTTTTCGAGTCTTACGCAGGGATCTTTGAGTACTTGACTGACATTTTCTCAAACAATTTTTACGAATTGTCTCGTCAAAAAGTTGGATGTGCTGTTCTGAAAGGTTCAAATCCCGATTTTCAGTTCATCTCCACTTTCCCCTGGATGCAAGTTCAATCTCTGCAACTATTTCGTCTACAACACCACTCTCCTTGCACAAATTTGTTTCTAACAATGGTGGTTGGCCTTCTCCCCATGAAGAAATATCTCATTCACGAGAATATGCTCTTTATAATGAATAATTACATGGCCCTCGAGTAAGGGCGCAGAGAAAAATAAACATCTTCAGTGGGTACTGATCAATCAAAGCTTTCGTCACACTTTTTGCTCAGCGCTAACAACGTTTTTTGAATCTTCTTGTATATACAGTACAGTATTTCTCAATTATTTCTCGTGTTTTCCGTAGTCTCAGGGTGACGGCTAGCTGTGTAGTATGGTTTTATGTGTATTGTATTGCTGTGGATTCCTGTGTTAAAAAAAAACCCGCGCGCTGTTAATCTGATCAATGCGCAGTTTGGATGACAGTTGATTGATGCGAAAGTTGTCACGGGGGAATTACTCCTTCCCAACAGGAACGAAGATCCATCATGAATGAATCTTCATGCTGCTTATAGCCAAGCTCCACGTGCTGCACGGCAACCTTGTTAGTTGCTGGGAGTACTATACTAAATACAGTAGCTAAGCTGCCGATGTGTAATTAAAAATAATGTCACTCTTTCAAAATAAAAAGCTCGTTCTGCGTCACTCATGAGGTTGAAAAGCCTTGGGCACGAGCGCGTTTAATGGGATTGGTCAAACGAAATCTGACGCCAGTGCGAATTCTCGCGGTAATCAAAATAGCGCACAAAGCAGTATGGAATGCATCGGGCACTGGGGAACCGGAAAAATCCATGCGTAAGGGCGTTTCCCTCATTTAGTTCTGGAAAATGAACATCATATACCGCTGGGATGGAGTGTAGAAACGAGAGGGGAGAAGCCCTTACATGCCATCGCGTCATCAAATCGAACGGACCATACAAGATCACACTATCCACGCGACTTGTACCCGGGGCGGTCGCGGGAGGCGCTATGAAAAATTGAACACTAGCGTTCCTGCTGTCCAGTTGTATTTTACCACTCGAAAGTAATTTACTGTTGTCGCTATAATTTTCCACATGGGCTCTGAATAATTTTGTTGTAAACCGGAGCTGTCTTGCTGCGCCACCGTTCCTGAGTTGGCACGCGAGCGACCAGGAATGCCAGAGCTGCGCTGAAGACCTCATGCAGATGCATGTTGCATAAATATGCAATGAAAAGTTCTACTGGCACGCGATGCATTAAGAAAAACGCCTATAGTCCCCGCCGAAACAGCAAAGGAATTAGTCGCAAAAATGTTAAATTTAGCTTTTGAAAATCTCCAAAAGTCGAGCGTCTGTTGGCCAGCTAAATATTTTTCCGTACGAAGAGTTCTAAAAACGCATAGTGACGAAATCCACGCTTCAATATCACGCATTGGAAAACGAATGCTGTTCTGTGTTCTGAAAAATACAGTATTCATAGAGGTGCAAAATAAATTGACCGGGAAACTCCTGTCGGCAATAATTGCAGCGCTGAAACCTGTCGCACCAATAGCTTTCTGGTTAAGTTCTTCCCTCTTCCTCAAATTGTCGCTAAGTCTGAAAATTTGAACCAAATTTTTGAAAAATTAAGAGAATGGAACATATTTATGAAGCATTTCCAATGAAAGGAACATGTAAAACCCCTTTTTCAAATATTGATGAGGACCTGCTTTTCCCTTTCGATGATTACATAAACTTTAGTCGCATCTGCAATCATTTTGAAAAATTCTGTTCTTTGAATCCATATTGCTCAAGAGACTTGTGAACGGTTTCGAAAAAGTTCGGCTTTTGTAACAATGAAGTTTCTGAATAGGCGGCGTTAACTTCGCAGCAGTGTCGAGTAAAGCTCAAAATAAAGTGGCTTCCATAATTTTTTTGCTACCTTCGGCATTTCCCGAGACGCTAAGATTTAGTTAAGAAAATTTATCCCCCAAAATACTGAAATGACATACGGTCGTTCGTTTGGTGATCAATTGTTGCATGTGAAATGCACTGGTATCATTGCTAGAGAAGCAACAGCATCGAAATTGAATGCCGAACTTCATGATCTCGTCTAATGCATCCCTGTAATGCCTTTTTAAAACTGAACGTATTTTCTTTACAGATGGTTATTTAAATGGAAGTTCGGCACCACCAAGAGGGATCATTGCGTGGATAACTCTCGCTGCAATCGCCATCACTTTCCGTGGACCACCTATAAGACATTGATCCCTCGACGTCAGATGTGTTCATTCACATCACCCTATTTGTTGTCGAAATGCGTCGGGGGGAAATTATGTCCGGCCATATCGCTTTGGAAAGAAAGGCATTCGTTTCAGTTCGCCGCGGAAACCGTGGGATGTGCTACGTCGTCTGGTCGGCGGTCAAGGCAAGAACTTTACGCGTGGCCCCGAGGCTTCTGAGGGGATCAAGACCGCAGTGAAGCCGTCGAATCCTAGACAAACGGATCGCGATGGAAACACTGAAACGCAAGACTCCAGATGAATGATATTGTTTTCTAAATGTCGTCACGGGTTGTCTTTAGGTCTCGCGTTAGTATCAATTTTTGTACACCAAACGCGCTTGCCAGCGACCGCAATCAGAAAAAAAAGGGACGATGGGAAGGTAAAATAAAATTTTCGTGAACATCATTCAATTTGTCTTGACATGAAAGATCCCTTTGTTCGCATCTGTGCTTTTTTTTTCAATGCTGGTTTCTCGCTCGTAATGATCAGCCGATTTTGTTACCCGTGACAGGCTAATCCTACGAGAGCTTGAGGTGCTGAAACGTTTTTGCATTCGGTCAAAGCAAGGCAATTATTCATTGCTTGAATTGCCATGCATAGATTAAGAACGTTTCGGCCGTGAATGTGTTGAGCTATACGCAAACTGTCGTCTTTTGCCAATGACGATTTCCATGTGATTTTTTGTTTGTCTCGAATGCGGTCGTCGAGGAATTTCCGATCAGCGATGAGGACACAGGATGGATAACTATCGCATGTCCGAATGGTTAGATCTCCACCCTGATGACACGGAGTTTGATGAGCTGTTGAAAATGGAAGTTTGTTTTAAATAATGCTCGTGGGTTTCATTTCAAATTTTACCGGTATTCCGGACGCATTCATCAATTCTTCGAATGACTTTACCAGTAAGGTTAGTTTACGGTGGCGTAATACCGTCGTTTCCGTGAACCTTGTCCAACGTATAGTCAATCACTTTTTTCGCCTAAAAACAATGAAATAAATCCGAGGAATGGTCCATGCATGGCGAGTCCAATTTGATGATTGTATGTATGGTTATTTTAAATTACATATGATAATTGTACTAGAGTTTTTTTCAGTTTTTAAGAAGCTGTCAGTCATACTATATCTATTCGCCCAAGGACATCTTCCGCTCTCAATGCACATTTCCTGTTATAAATCCAATGCATTCACAATTTTGCCCTCGGCTGAAGTTCATTACTGGACGGAAAGCGGAACAAACACCTCAAGCTATCCTTCATATTTATTTTCAAAGCCTGAAGAAAACATGTTTTTCCGTTCCAGAAATATTCGATGAATTACAATCTACATATATACATGAGTATGCAGTATATTGCTACCATCAAGCTCCGCTTATAGCAAGCCTGCTGACGTCAAGTTTCTGAGCCTGAAAAGTTCTGAAGCAAGCTTCTCATATGAATCACTGATTTCTCCGCGTCAGTATTTTTTACATGGAATTCACAGATTCTCAGCAGATCAAAGATCATGCACCATTGAAGATACACTGACGAAGGTCAGGTTGTATGAGCAATTCGCAACGCAAGCTCATCACCAGTATGTTTCGCGATCAATCGCCGATGTCTATAAGTACCTTTGATCCTTGCTAATTAACGTCTTCGGTGCATCTCGTCGCCTTTGTACACAAGCGCTGAATACATCTTTCATGGTTGTCTTGGATCACAGGGATACAATGCATTTCATTAGCGGATGCTACGCTTTCGGAAATTTATTCAGCACGGTTTCTATTTTTTTCTCGGTGAGGCGGAATCGCGATTCTTCTCAGAAGTCTCGAACAGTCCGAGGCGTCATTTTCAGGAGACCAGCTTCCATCGCAATCTTATGCGCAATCATCTAGTCAAATGTCGGGGAGCGGGGAATTGTGAATGATAAGCTTTTTTGAAAGTGCATCACAATTTTCCGAAGAGTTTTCCATGCACTCCTCCCGGGGATGGAATTTCCAGGGGCGATGCGGATTTAGAGGGGATCACCTCGACTTCGGTTGTTCAGAGGCAGACGAGATAGGAGGGGGGGAAAAAAGCGGGAAACCAGCAGCGAAGTCGCCAATTTCGACGCATCGTGTCCCTGGGCCAGTGTTCCGTGCTTTGAAACGGGGTTCCGTTCAGATGAAATCTTCCACTCCGCTGTCGGGGAATCCGCCGACGGTTTGTTTTATTCCGTCGAGGAAACCAATTCGGACAATGGTGATGTGGAATTGAATGCCCCTTGGGCATGTATCTTGTCCACGGAAGTAGATTCCGAGCGGAGACGGGTGTGAACGGGGCGGACAAGTAGGACAATGAAGGGTGGCGCGGGAGAATTCGTACTGTATCTTCGTGGGACCCGGTCGTCGACCGAGTTCTGCTCTCTATATGCTCGTCTACTTGGAGGTTCTCAAACTGTGCTCCGCGGAGCCCAAAGAGGTCCCACTCAGAGTTACCCGTAGGGGATCCGCATCCGCTCACGAAAAATAAAAGTAATAAGAATGAATCAGGAGGATCCATGGACTTCCCTGGATATGGAGGAAGATGTATTAGAACTCACGCAGTGAGCCCCAGGAATGCTGCATAATGTATGAAAGTCTAACTAAATCGTCACACACAAAAATGCACAAAAGGGCTCAGCCACAGAAATCGAATCAGAAAGGGTTCCGTGAGCCAAAAAAAGGGTTGAGAACCTCTCGGTCTAGATGATTTTCCGGGACAGTTTCCGCTAACGTCTCTATTTTTCTCCGTGGATCCCCTCCTAACAATCAGTCCACGCGTGTCGTATGGTGCCATGAGTCGCGTAATTCGCGGCTGCTCGCGGCATTCCCGTCACGGACGCGAGTTCTGCATACCAGGCCGTTTTCCGTAGGAGTTCAGTTCACTCGCTGCGTAGTTTGAGTTTTGGTTACTTCTCACGAGTCGTCTATGAAAAGATAATTCGGCTGCGTACATAACGTGCTACTTACTTTAACTCCCTGAGCAGGTACACGTTTTTACACGAAAATAAAGCGCCATCATTCAAGAGGACCCCGGTGATTGCGTTTCTTTTCGGGGTATTCAAGATGAAAAAAAAAAATTATCCTGCGTGAGACGACCTGCAAGAGGTTTCATATTCTTTTCTTGCTTCAGTTATAACCCAGCGTAAGCTCATCGAACACTTTTGAGAGAAAAATCAGGACGTGCCATCAATCTGCACAAGGTAGAAGTTGTGCCATTAAAAAAAAATCCAAAATATCCTTTTGGCCGGCAAGCAGACCCCAAAAATATGCGTCAGCTGTGATTCTAAGGCCGCATAAATTATGACAAGCCAGAAAATGTAAGACACCTTTGAATGTTATCCTCTGGATGTTAGCGGATAATTTCCGGATGAATTCTGTCTGGTTTCAGGGGAATATTATCTTAATTGCATGTTCTTTGATGAGTTGAGGATAAACTTGGTACACTCAAGGTACATTCATTTTTTTAAGAGAGTGAAGTTAGCCACACCTCAGCAGTGAATGATCGTTGAATGTCTTGGCATTCGGAAAAGTTTCATAGTGCTTTGTCGAACTGAACGCATTCGTCCCGAGTTTATTGAAAAAAAAAACGAAGAACCACAAATCACGAGGCTCTTCGGTTTCTCGACTGAAACACTGCAATGAAAAAAGAATTCCTTGCGATCAATATGCAAGATGTGCCGATTTTTTAATCTTTTCCGTTGAAAATTTTAATGATATTGTTTCAAAGCATGTATCGAAATTTTGGGAATAATATAGATTTCCAAAAGTAGAAGCGTGGTTTTAGATAATCCATGAATATAGATTGGATGAAGAGGAATTTCAAGCATTCGAAAAACGACTCAATGCCTATATACAGTTTAAAGTTGACAGTACAGTAAGTTAAGTTAAGTTTACAGTTTTCAATTTATAATACCAACTTTAGTGCTTATAGTTTTCAATGTTATCCGTCATGTTTTCTAGACCCTTTTACTTACTTGCATATTCTACGTATTTCAATTCCTTGATTGTTTGTGTAACTATTTTATAACGCTTACAATAAAATGACAGTCTCGAATTCTACGAGAATATATAAAGAGAGTTTTGTGCAAGTCATTCATATAATCGTTTTTCAAATGTTTCGAACACGGTTAATCGTCTTATTAACTCACGAGAAACAGTGTATTTTTAACTTAACAAGCTGCGTTATTAACTTCAACTTCGAGGAGAGGAGTAATGAAGCATTCCTACGACAAGTAAACTAAAAGACGACGAGAACTCTAATTAGCAATTGTGAACCTCCCTTGACTGATGGTGCTGTCTCGACTGTACTTTGTTCTTTCCTCCTGTTCATCAACGAAGTCACCACCTTTGTCCTAAAGCTACCCCTGCGGAAAAGAAAACAAGTCAAAGGGACCGATGGATGAGAGGATATAGCATTACTTTGATTAAGAAAACTCAGACAGACGCCGTCTGGAGGAAATCCAAATTGCTTTACCAGACAAAGAATCAAGATTCCACGCACCGAACTTTTCTTGAAGAAAAGTCAACTTTGTATCCCGTTTCGCGTTTAAAACAAACAACGTCTGTCATCGCATACAAATTTAATTGATGCGAAAGGCAACCTATACAAGCATTGATTGGAGTTTCAACTGGAAGTTCACGAAGAGCATGCAGTAATACAGTAGCATATTTGATGAAAAATCTAAGGACTCCGAAATCTTAGGGCAATCATTGGTTGCCTGTGCGAGAATGATAAAATAACATTTGTAATCGAGACTGCGCAAATTGTTATTCAACGTGACAACATTGTGGTATGACAAATGTTTGACATATAATACTGCATCACAAATATTGGCAAAATTGACGTTCGGTTGCTTGGAAAAGCCGAATGGTCAATCATACTTACCCAGAGCATAATGTAATCGTCACCATATGTGTAGATGAGTTCCTTGCTGTTCTCTTTACAATTAACCAATTGCGATTTAATCTCTGTTCGATGCATTTCTTTTCTATTTGAAATCGATATTTTCAGCCCTTTCACGAGTTTTCAGTTTCTGAATATTCAAAAAATGTTGTTCAGCTTTAGTTGAAATCGTATGGATTTATTTTTAATTTATTATTCTTGTTTTTTATTATTTTTTAGTCGGGAGGAGATATGATCCTGTATAAGGAAATATGAAAACTAGCCTTCGTTATCCTAGTTTCTCTTCACACCGCAATCCACGCGTCCGTTTCTGATTTGTGTAGGAAAATCTGCGGACGCCTGGATTAATGACGGAACTAATTCGGTTCAAGTCCGCGAATAAAGCAATAATATGCATTTTCTCTGTGCAGATCTCGGGGTAAACTAAGACTGATGATAAGACGCATGAAGGAGCTATTCAAGGGCAGTGCTACGTCCCTATACTGAAGATATTCATGAATTTTTAATAATATTGGACAGTCGTAGCTGAAGTTGCGTTCTATGTTCTCGGATTTTTTTCCAAGCTATTGAAAAGGAAAAATCCATCCGAGGCTTCGTATTGGTGCTAAACAGTACGAGGATTTCAAGGGTTTCCATGGACAGGGATTTTCAAATGTGTACCAGGGCTGGTACGCAGGTATCTGGCAGATGGGGCTCAAAATATTGCCAAATGAATGGGAAACAAAGTTGGTCTTAGACGCTCGCCAAGCTTATTTAACCAGGTCATTCAACCAGCGGTGGTACTTGGTGCCCAGCAGGAGGTACAACTCCTGTCATTTCTTGAAAGTTATACCATTCACAAAAAGGTTGAAAAGCCCTAATCGACGGCGAAATCAGGCAAGCGTTCGGTTCGCAAAGGAATCCTACGCGGTCACGTTTGAGCCGTCTTGTTTTGGTTTTTTGCGCGGAAGCAACATTTTTCTCTGGAACTCGAGACTCGGACGACATGACAATTCATCTCCATTACTGCTGACTTTTCCTCTTCTTCCCGCTCAGTGCCGCAACTGTCGACATGCTGAAACTAATCTTCCATAGCTAATATTTCTTACCTGAAGAACCTCCCTTTCCCCAACCGCCATTTAGAAGATAACCTCGGAACCAGCGGAGCAGGAACGTGGGTGCGGATATTTACGATGCCGTGCACGAGTGTTTTGTAAATTCCGTAATGGGCCGGGGATTGTGGCTAGATCACGACAAATCAGGTGCAACCACATCCGAAATGAGCAAATACCCCACTGGAATAATGCAAACCCTCCATGTGTGCACGAAACTTTCGGCGGTGCTCCGAATTACGGAAAGAACATGCGACGGTTCCCCTGAATTTCCTTAGCATGCCTCCAGGAGACGCACAGGAAACGTATCAGCAATTGCGCCCGCAGTTTCGCATTATTCTGCATGTGAGAATAGTAACTTCGACACGGAAACACGGCCAAAGTCCTATTCTTTTTCTCTGGCACGGCGTCCGCAGCTTTCATGCAATTTTGAAGCGCTGCGATGCGGCGGCTCGGCATAAGCAGGAATTGCAGCGTTTCAAGAAAAGAAACGGGGGAAAAATCGCCCAGAAATATTCAACAGTAGTAATTGACTCTCTCACGCGAGGCTCCGCAGTGTTATTAAGGTGAGTAACCCGAGAAAGCAGCGAGTTGAGTTTCATCGCGGCAATTCGTCTTGACTCCGGCCGAGAAGTCATGGGCTCGCCGCGAGAACTCCGGAGGATCTCGAAAGTCGAAAAGATCTTTACCTTTTGCTGCAGTTCTCTCGCTGTCAGGGAGGCGACGAGCACTCCGGTTCCTTCCTATACACACGCACCTTCCGCATGGGGATAATTACCGCCTGTCACTCAATACAAACTCATCACCTGTCCTGGTTGAATCAAGGCGGTCATGATTATCGACTAGCAAATTTCCCCGCCCACGTGTGTTGTGCAAGTTGATAAATAATCGTTAGTGTATCAAATGCCGCTTTGTTCTAGATGAATGCATTTTATCCAACTCTAACGCATGTACGCTTACCCTCAGCTCTTCTTTGAGAAATTCCGCCGGGACACTTGCTCCCGAAAATAAAACAATGACGATTGTTGCGTCAACAACAAGCAATTTCACCCATATTCCCCACATCCGCATAACTCTTCGTCGTTCCCCTTACATACCAAAATCTATGGCTGGTTGAAACTGGTTCAGGCTTCTTCATGACTTTGTCTTGTGAAGTTGAGCTCGATGTACAGCTAAGTATTATGATGTGAAATTAATTTATTTGAAAATTTTTGCTGCAATTAATGTTCCCTGGCAATAAAATTTATCTTTCTTGCTCAAGGAAATAGGAGCATAGGAATCGATATTCAATGTCTTTG